TTGTTATTCAATATTCAAAAGCTTTTTGAATCATTACATGTCACTTGTTAGACGCTTTTATCCAAAGCTTACATACTCAATACTGTGGGCAATCCCCACAGGAGCAATTTGGGGTGAAGTGTCTCAGGGACACAACGACATGCTGACTGCAGTGGGGTTTGAACCTGTGCTCCCCTGATCCGAACACCAATGCACTTATCCACTGCGCCACACACCTCCATCCTTTACTCAAGTAGAAGTACAGATACTCGTGTTTGAAATACTCTGGTAAAACTTCTTAAGTAAAAGTAAAGAGGGCTTTGAAATGTACTTCAGTAAAAAGTACCCATAACTAGCAGCTGTTTTAAAGAGTACCTGACCTCCCTTTATATTAATAGAACAATAATGTCATTGTTAGCTAATGAATGTTTCCATGCTGAACAACGGCAACATGACAACGTTTTCATTGGTCCCTCTTCTTTAGAGAAGACCAGGAAGTGATGGATACACGGATCGTGTTCAAATCAATAGGCACGCAATGACTCTAAATAATAATGATCACGCCACCAAACACACATTCAAACTAAAGGAACCAGCCTGTTTGGGAAATGTGAGAAGTAGAAAGTACAGGTATTTGTGTTCAACATGTAAGAAGTAGAAAGTACAGGTATTTGGGTTCAACATGTAAGAAGTAGAAAGTACAGGTATTTGGGTTCAACATGTAAGAAGTAGAAAGTACAGGTATTTGAGTTCAACATGTAAGAAGTAGAAAGTACAGGTATTTGTGTTCAACATGTAAGAAGTAGAAAGTACAGGTATTTGAGTTCAACATGTAAGAAGTAGAAAGTACAGGTATTTGAGTTCAAAATGTAAGAAGTAGAAAGTACAAGTATTTGTGTTCAACATGTAAGAAGTAGAAAGTACAGGTATTTGGGTTCAACATGTAAGAAGTAGAAAGTACAGGTATTTGTGTTCAAAATGTAAGAAGTAGAAAGTACAGGTTTTTGTGTTCAACATGTAAGAAGTAGAAAGTACAGGTATTTGTGTTCAACATGTAAGAAGTAGAAAGTACAGGTATTTGAGTTCAAAATGTAAGAAGTAGAAAGTACAGGTATTTGTGTTCAAAATGTAAGAAGTAGAAGTAAAAAGTGATCAGAAAAATAAGTAGTGGAATGTACTTAAGTACAGTAACGAGGTATTTGTACTCCGCTACTTCCTACCTCTGACCAACGTGTATCTCTATATTCAGAGCACCCAGTATAAGACGGTGGAGCGGGTGGTGCAGACTCTGAAGAACCTGTGCTGTGCTCTGGACGAGACGGAGACCCAGGCCATCACTGAGGCCGTCAAAAGGCTGAAACACTCCGTCAACTTACCCCAGACACGCTCCCCCAAGGTGGGCTAACACTCTGCTTCACACGTTCATACAGAGCGTTGTTTACATGTTAGGAAGTGTTTGTAAGATCAACTTGTTTTGCTTTGCAGATGGGGTCCACATCGTCTGGTCAATCGTCAAATGGTACGTACACACAGTCACACTCCACCTCCACTTATTTAATTTAAATGTGATTGTTGCAGCTTATCATGTCAATGTGGTGCAAAGATGCATTACAGACAGAAATAACTTTTAAATAAAGTCACTGTCAAGTGTCTAAGGCTATTTAAAGACTATGTGGCTTATTCTATTACGGTATGAATCATTCAAAGCTTCATAGCATCATTAATGCTTACATTAAAATTGTAAAACGTTTAATTTGTATCTATTTGTCCCTATCATGTCCTGAGAGCCCTCCATCCCCCAATTGCTAGTGCCTTCACCATTTCAAATGTTAATAGTCAAATCAAAGGTGTTCCCTGTGTTCCTCCTGTTGTGTGCCTGCAGAGACAGATTTGGACAATGTTGTCTCGTTGTTGCGATTAAACTGATCTTGTATCTTGCATATTTCACCTTAGGAAAGTGGGCACGCGATGACAGCTTCCTTGACACCATCATGGCGATGGCCCGCCGTGCCATGGTCAGCAAGGAGAATGAGGACCTGCGTGCCAAGGAGATGCACGACGAGCGGCTGCTGCATTCACACAAGGCCCAGGAATCGAGGTGGAGCAACAAAATACCTTTCAGGCTGGGCTTCTGGCAGTGCTAAGCGAGCTGATTAAATCCAACAGGCCTTCAATACAAAAATTAAGAAAAACTTGTCGTTGATAAACTGTACAATGACTTGTTGGGAGGCGTGTGGTGCAGTGGTCTGGTGCGTTGGTGTTCGGATCAGGGGAGCACAGGTTCAAACCCCACTGCAGTCAGGATGTCGTTGTGTCCCTGGGCAAGACACTTCACCCCAAATTGCCTACACCTGGGACAGTTCATTTTGTATTATTGTGATTATATATATATGCCACTGTTATTAATACTGACACCTAACTTTGCACTAAGGTGTGTCTGCTGCTGAGCCTACCTATTGATATATATATATATATATATATTGCCACTGTTATTATATTGTTTTGATACTACTGACACTTATTGATCTGCTGCTGATAAATAAAAGAGAACCTACATGCACGGCACTAGCATCATGACTGTCTTTGTTTAAACCAGCAGCAGTGCAGCGGTACACAGACTAACCTGTGTGTGTGTAACGTAGTTCTTCAGATGTGTATGCTTAACATGTATGTTAACATGTATGTATACAAACGTTTTTAAAGAGCTTTCAACCTCATCCCATTGTCTTTAACACACATTTAACATAATATACTCATTAATATACAAATATACAGTATGAGTACTGTTTTGATACTGACATTTAATCTTTGCACTAAGGTGTGTCTGCACTATTGTAATTGTGTCTGTTGACTGGTAAATAAAAGAGAACCAAATGCACAGTACAAAATATCAGCTTTATTGTCAATTTACAATTTCCATGCTGTTCAGATGCCTCTCCACAACGTTGCTTCCAGGCGAATACAGAGGAGTTGAAAAGAGCCCTTGGACATTCGGAAATCTTCGATCCACTGCACATCCTCCCACCAGGCCGACGTTCTATTGTTCACCCAGAGTTCCGTAGTATTCGCATATCTGGAACACATACAAAGACACAAATTAGCCCTACATAACTCCATAAATCCTACATTAGATAGTATTAATGTGATTTAATGAACGTACCATTGCTGTTCTTTGGGCGTGATAATCATCCTCGGCTGTACAACGGCGAAACATGTCCATCGCGTGTGATTTCGTCGTCCAATCCTTTTGTTAAGGCTTCTTAACCGCCTTCGCCTCCGACTCAGCATTTCTATTGCATTTGAATGGTCGATCTGTATTTGTATTTGTGGCTGAGTTATTGGCTTAAATAACTCCGTTACGAAGCTGTATAACACGACCATCAAAACGTCAACTCCATACCGTGTCTGAGGTCGGAAGGTAAACAGAAGCATACAGCGGAAGCGGAAGTTTTTTTTCTTCTTCTCTCGGTTTTTTGGCGGATTGCAACTTTAAGGTGCATACCGCCATCTACTGTACTCGCCGTGAAGTTGTTTGCGGCCTGCCAGTAAAACCTAAGCAGAAGAAGAAGAAGTGACGTCAGCGGCTCATTTGCCTAATCCACCCCCAGGAACTCATTTTGGTGTGAACGCGATCTGCTTTAGTTCATCAGAACTAAAAGAGCTCTCATGAACTAAAGTTCTCAGGAACTACTGTGGGAAAAGTACTTGGTGTGAACGCGCCTAATGGGTGCTATTCCACCAGACGCGCCGCGTTACGGCTCAGAAGTGTCCCAGAAGCGTCTCGGCGCTGGGCTCCGCTCAAAATAGGATGCAAGTCTATTTTCGACGCAACGCAAAGCGTTGCAGAGGCGCCGGGCAGGAAGTGGAACGGTCAGAGCATCCGGCCCATCCCCAAAATAAACTAATTGCAGACCCTATCCCTCCGTAGTCTTTCAAGTAGGAGAAAGATTAGCAACAAAATTCGGGACAAAAATGTCCACTTCCAAAAACTGCTCTAAAATGACAACAGATTAATATTTTTTTAAACTTTTTGGGGTTAAATCTTTCAATCAACTTCAGTCCTGATCAAAAATACCAAATGTTAAATTATGTTCAGGATTTTAACCCTTAAACATGAATTCGCTCTCAGTCTGACAGGAGAGGACTCTCCTCCGCTTTGTTGTTGAAAAAACTCCTTATATCCGTTAGCGTAGCTCGCTAGCACCAGAAGCTAACAACAGCGATCTCCGGTACCGGTGCGCTCTCTCTCTCTTGCTCGCGCACGCACACAAAATGGCTCGTTCCACACACACACAGAGCTTTAATGAAACACAGAGACCCAGACGTAATAGTACTGTATCATATTATTTTCGAATCAATAATCTTTCAAATTATGATTATTTATTATTTTAATCTTCTTTTTTTTTTTTCAGAGTATTTAAACAATGTTTACCCAGGATTCAAGCACTTTTCCTGGCTTGTCAAGTGCTGTCTGATGCACCCTGGAAGTATCAGAGTATTTAATACACCTATTCTGACGTTTGAATCAATTTTCCTGCCTATTTAAACCAAATGTTAGACTGTCCAATTGTAAGACATTTTTTTGTATTGAACTGTCCCAGAATTGTACAAATCATGTCCAACACACGGAGAATTGCATGTGTATAGTGAATTCCATCAATAGGACACTATTCCGCCATCTGGTGGATATTTAATGAATTACATGAACAATCCCAAAACATTTAATATTTTCTATCTCAGAGAGGAAAGCTCGCCTGACCCCAATTTATTTTCCAGGTGGAAGCCCCCGGCGGTGCCTACGCGTGGCTTATTTTAGGTGCACTCTGGGGCAGAGATAAGGGTAAAATTAGGTCTGTCACTTTGGGTGACCGCACCACTAATGTAAAACTCCGCAGCGTGGACGTCCATTATTTGTACTGCCTCTAATACGAGTAAATCTATTTGTAAAAACTTTATTTTTATTTTTCTCTGTGTCTCTGCTGACCTACTGCATGGTGGTCGTCAACAAATGAAAAACACAATCTGGTGAAACGATTTTATTTAAAAACTGAAGCTGCTCAGAGAGATGAAGGTGATCTGTTTAACAGAGAAAAAACAACAACAAGGCTCTTATGGGCAGAGTTAAAAGAAAATCTGCAGTCAGCTGATGTTAGGACCCAGCGGCCTTCTGGGAAATGGAGTCCACTCAGAGCTCAGTCGTCTCCTCCGCACAGACTCAGCAGAGCCTTCTGGTAGTCTCCTTTAGTGTGCTCCTGAAACACACAACAATTATATTAATACTTTGGGACTTAAGCCTCTGCAGACCATTTACATGCACAGAAACCTTTATAACACACTGCAGGAAATGGAAATCCCAGAATAGGTCCCCTTTAAAAATGTTTTGATGTTTGATGAATAACTTTCCCCAACATACTTTTGGACAATATCACATCCAGTCTGTGTTTTGTGTCATGGCATTAAACACAGCATGCACAGTATCTTTTGATTCAATGGTTCTTGTCCATGTTTTTTGTATTAATTACATAACACAGAGACCCATACTGGAGGTGGTTGAACAACACACACACACACCACACACACACACACAACACACACACACACACACACACACACACACACACACACACACACACACACAACCACACCACAACACACACACACACACACAAACACACACACACACACACACACACACACACAACACACCCACACGTCACACACACACACACACACACCACACACACACACACACACACACACACACACACACACACACATACTCACAGCGATGGTCTGATACAGAGTTCTCTTGTGCGTCTTCTTGAACTCTGAGCGGATTTTCATCAGGTCGACTTCACAGCGAGAGACCATGATCCTCGTCACCACCTTCTCCTTCGCTCCTTTACTCTATACACGCACACACACACACACACACACAACACACACACACACACACACACACACCACACACACACACACACACACACACACACACACACACACACACACACACACACACCCACACACACACACACACACACACACACCACACACACACACACCACACACACACACAATTGGTTACTTCAGTTAGAGTGGTAGAAATACATGAAAAAAAAGACGTGCATTTAAAGCTAACACAGTGTTAGCATATTAGCACCAAAAATATACTTCAAGTATAAAAAGTGAACAAACTAATTCTGAAGAATAATATACATCATATTATTTTATAATAGTCAGTTTATAGTTTAATGTGGGTGTTACAAAAATATACATATATAATATAAAATAAAATAGCAGTATATAAAATGTAAGAAAGCCACCAACACTAACCCTAGTGTAATGTTAGTGTTGGCTGTTTATGTTTTAGCATTTGTTTTCCTTGTATGTCTCTTTTGGTTTCCTCTTATTAACGTCCTTGATTTTTGTTGTTTAATTGTACATTATTTACTCTTTAGTAAAAATAGGATGTATTTCATGAACCATTGTAGACTGCATTCAGAAATCACCTGCAACAAAATAAAGGAATATAAATAAGAGTAGAAATGATAAATTAGCAAGTACACTCTGTGCACCAAAACTACAGTATTTTCAGTTTGTAGTAAAGTAGAAGTATCAGGAAGCAGAACATTAAACATGTGTAGTTGCAGTGATCAAGGTCAAACTGATCTGTACCTTCATGGCTTCATTGAGTCTGTTGGCGAAGTACAGCTGTCTGTTCTCAAAGCACTCCACTGTGAGAGAACACATTCATATATTAAATATAATGTCATTACATCCTATGCAACAGTGTTTTATTTTGAATTTCCACGTGCCCTCACATGCACATACTTTGAATAAAATAATAATAAAACGGTGGTGTTTTTTTACCCAGAGTGAGGAAGGACTTCTCCAGGTCTCCCTTCACCTCCTTCCTGATGCTCTCCTTCATGTCGTAGGGACTGTAGCTCTTATAGCGCTCAACACTAACACACACACACATCACACACACACACACACACACACACACACACACACACCACACACACACACACACACACCACACACACACACACACACACACACACACACACCACACACACACACACACCACACACACACACACACACACACACACACACCACACACACACACACACAAGCATATTGTTTTATGGATGTTTATAGAGGACACTCCTTTTTATGAACTGTTACCACAGCCAGTCTCTAATATCCAACTTAAACAAACAAAATGTGAATATCAGACCCTCTGCAGACCTCCTGAATGTTGGTATGGTAACATACAATATCTACTGTCTACTGTTACGGAAGAAAATAAGTGTTCATATATAAAGAAACACAGCCCTTTGTCCGTAGTTTCAAAGAATAACAAGTCTAGGGCTTTGAAACAGCTTTTTGACCGAGATGTTTTGGTCCGGTGCCTTGCTCAAGGGCACCACGGCAGGGCAGGAGGTGAACTGGGACCTCTCCAAGTAGCAGTCCACACTCCATATTTAGCTCTGATCGGGGCTTTGAACCGCCGACCCTACAGCTCCCAGTCCAAGCCCCTACTGACTGAGCCACTGCACGACCACAATTTGGCGTCACAAACAGGATCCCTTGAAAGACTGTGTGTGTGAGTGAGTGTGAGTGTGTGTGTGTGTGTGTGTGTGTGTGTGTGTGTGTGTGTGTGTGTGTGTGTGTGTGTGTGTGTGTGAGTGTGAGTGTGAGTGTGTGTGTGAGTGTGAGTGTGAGTGTGTGTGTGTGAGTGTGAGTGTGAGTGTGTGTGTGTGTGTGTGTGTTACCTTTCTGCAGGTGGGGGACGCTCCTCTGGGACATGATGGAGATCCAGACGGCCACGTCGGTGCCTTTCCTCTGAACCCCGGCTTCATACAGACACTGAGGTGAGAGAATTAAGAGTCATCTTACTTTCCATAAGTTAGAAGGAAAGGTGAGACATCTGTATTGCTTAGAGTTAGTTAATGAAATCGCAGACAAAAAATTAAAGATTCAACAACTGATTGTTAGATCATGACAGATATTCACACTTAGAACATAAACAAATAGTTTTTTCACAAGAAATCAAATCTTTTTGAATATGTTTTAAGGGAAACTGTATGAGGTGTTTGACTCACTCTGGCGTCCTCGTCGATCTTCTCATAGTCCACCACGTTAGACGGCTCATCTCTCTTTGTCTGCATGTCGAGAAACAAAATGCATATTAGTGGTTTAAAATGTTTAAATGACAGTAAAACACCAACCTGGGGTTTCTTTCAGCGTGCTTTATGCAAAGACTTGAACCTTAATACACCATATAGCCTGACAGAAGGGTCCAAACTTGCAGTTGGTTTGTAAATATGTGATATTACCCAGATACTAAAATGACAATCAAACAACGTTTTTTACAGTTAGCATCGAGCTACCTGAACCAGCGCTAGCAGCAGTTTAGCGAAGTCCCCTGAAGTGTCTCCGGCTACCTCTTTATCCAGCTCCTTCTTAAACACTGCGGACAGAAAGAAAAAGACATGCACATTATGAAAAACATTCATAGGTTAAATACAACACATGATGTAGCTAATGTTAGCCACGGAAGCTAACTAGCTAGATGTTTATAGTTGATACTAATAGTAAAGGTCATCGAGCTAACATGCTAACAGCTTACATGTGGTTCAATGTAACGGCTAACGATATGTTACTTTAGCTTTTGAAGCTAACTGAGTCACTCTGAAAGCTAAACAGAACATTTCCCATCACGAAATGTCATTTATATAGCGATTGTCATATATCATAATCATTATCATTAACATATCTAGATACAAAATGATATATATTTTGTAATTACTCCAATTAAATACTTGACTAATCAAAATAAAGTATCGTGATTTTAACGTATTTGTCATTTTACTCTTAAACTACAAAATGTAGTATGGATAATATTTGTCATCTTTATATGTCATTGAGTATTGCAATATTACATATAATGATACCCGAAGTTACTTATTGAAAAGATTACTGGACCAATAATATTTACCTTTAGGTTATGAAGTAAATGAAATACTTGAAACGAAAGAGAGCATATTTTAATTTATCGTAATTTACAGTAAATACTTCTTTGGACATTTGAATTGTAAAATGTGTTAATTGGTATGTAAAATAAAGAATTTCACATATCCTTTTTTGGTAATGGTTCAGTTAGATATACAGGCTAATGTTAAATGGCCAAACATTAGTCCTGCTAATTGAATTTAAACTCTGCATACTTACAAACATTTAAATCAAAATGACAGATTATTCAACAGACAGTTTAACTTAACCTCCTCTGTTAGGTTAACAACGTTAGTCTCACAGCATTATAATTATTGTAATATCGTTGTAAGTTAGGCAGCAATACTAACAGTAATGTGATCTTTACCACTATGAAAAACATGCACGCGGTTTCCCTTAGCTTTAATTTAAAATGTTAGATTTGTAACTCTGTATTTGAGATAAACGCACTCTCTTTGTAAACCCTCTTTATCTCCAGCAGCTCCTCGTTGTTTCTCGAGCAGACCATCTCGATGAGCGTTTCCTCGTCCGTCCCCAGGCCCTGAAAACCAACACACACAGGTAAGACTTCATTTTTTATATTAAAATCACTATTATATAACAATGTTATTCTGTCAGAGCTTTTTCATTGGTCAAATATGTTTTTCATCAAAAGTAAAATAATTTTTCCTGCTGAAAATTGTCCCACATTCAACTATAACCAATACGGAGGCTAAATACAGTTCTGATTGGTCGATTGAGAACATGTGACACGTTGTAAATACAGAAGAACAGACCGCTGTCAAGGACTGTAATGACCGTTGCTAAGGAGGGTCAAGAAAGAGAAAGGAAAGGAGGTTCAAAAATGTCACAAATGTTTCAAAAAGTTCACACTTTTTTTTTCTTTTTTCACTGATTTAAAAAAAAAAAATCAGTTTTCTTTTTAAATAATTTTGTGACATTCTCACTGAAGCATGACCTTGAGTTTGACCCCCGTGGTTTAGAGGGGAAACGTGTCTGACCTTCATGGAGGCTTTGAGCTCCGAGGCGTCGTACTGAGCGGTGCCCTTCATCAGACCCAGCAGCAGAGCCTCCAGGGAGCCGGACAGCGCCCCCTTCAGGGCCACGCTCAGATCCTGGGACAATACAACACTGCAGGTCAATGGGGGGGAAAATGTACTGATAGATATGTATGTATGTATTTATTTATAGAAGGACCATGCATACAAATACATTAATCTCAGCAAAGAGAAGAGATGCAGGTTCATAACAATCAATAAACAAATAATAACATTGCATGATCTCTATCAGTCAAACTATTTCAAAACCTGATTTAAGTACAGCTCAATAAATGAATACATAGTACACTTGAAATACACTTACATGATCTCGGTCACTCAAATAATTATAAAGCCTGATTTAAATACAGGTTACTAACATAATACTTAGTTCACTTCAAATACACTTAAATACAATATCTAAAATATAGTATGACAATACAGTTAAAAAAAAAAAAAACTCAGATTACAGTGTAATTCATGTTTGCATTAATCACCATGAAACTTCCTCACTTCATTACGGACAATAACACAATCATTTTTTATATTACAAGTTTTCTGACATGTTATGTTTAAATATGAAAATAAGGTGTTATGTAATGCTAAATGTTGGGGAATTTAGAAGAGGTTAGGGTTACGGACACAGACAAAGTTATTGATATAAACTCCTAAAAATTGGTGTCTTCGTGTCTGACCAAACCAGATGAAAGTACAAGGATTATGTCTTTGAGAAGAAATAATCCAAAGTTAGTTCGGGCCAGTATGTTTAAACATGTTCATTAATCAGAAACGTTTTCAACCTTCTTAGCGATCCGTTCATATTCGAAGGCGATCTCTCTCCGCTGCTCCGTGCTGCGTCTCGTCAGGATGTCGATCACCGTCTGCTCGTCCACTCCTGCAGACAGAGAGGACTCTTTAAAGTGGACCTATCATGCTATATTTAAATGATATATTGTAGGGCCATACCTATATAAGGTATATTTATACGTTTCTGTTTTCAAAATACCAAACAGATCATGCATTTTAGCCATGCCTCATTTCGCTCTATGTGCTGTTTGCTGTCTACGGGTCTGATTCTGCTGACCACGCCCCCCTGCAGGAGAGGGGAGACGTGCTCTGATCAGCTGCTGGGCTGTCAGAAGAGGGGGAGAAAAAGAGATCTCCGTCCTCCGTGTTTTATTATATAGAGTCGTTATTCATTTGTTTTAAAGCTCAATAAATAACAAAGAAGACCTTTGACCGGCACTTTTCTAATTTTGTCCGGAAGATTTAAACTTTAACGGACATCTTGACCGGCGAAAGTAACTGAAACTGAAACTCTGCCGCACGGTCCCCTCGTTCCTTGGAAGAGGCGGAGAGGTGGGTGTTTGTCATCTGCTGGTGGACTAACCGGAGAGAATTACAGTGCTTGCCTCGACGGGGAGGGATTGCATTGAATTAAAGCAGCGGGAGCAAACGCTTGCCTCGGGGAGGGAGAAAAAAAAGCCACAGCGGAGAATAAACAGAAGGGTAACCATGGTAACCAAGTCTTCTTCACTGCTTTTGTGGCAGACTACAGCGCCACTTACAGGCCTGGCATATGTACTACAGCGTCTCCAGCGCTTTCGAGCGGGAATGGCCGGCTGTGGCCCAACCCCACATTCCCCTGATAGGTGGAGAGTTGGCCCAATAGCCGTAGCGCCACTTCTGTGACGACATAGAAGTGTTCAAATCTGGATCAGTTTGTATCAGATCCGTTGCAGCCCCTTTTTTAGAGATTTGGGTATGGAGGAAAATAGAGAGGTTGTGTTTTCTAACACTTGGTGAGTTCCCTGGAACACCGGGGACACATATTCATGTATAAAAGACGTGCAAAAGTGCATTTTGCATGATAGGTCCCCTTTAAAGTAGAGACACTACACACTGATATACACCTGAACATCAGCAGGAGAGGACTCTTTAATTTAAACTACTCAGTGGTGTAACCAGCACTGTTAGTTTCCCACAGACAAAAATGGGTTCTGGAATGAAGGCCTGATTGTTGACGGGCAGACCGTTACATAAATTCTACGTTTCTGATTTCTCTCACCTTTAGTCTTGATGGCGGTGTCGATCCGGGTGGCGTCTCTTCCCGGGTCGAAGTCTCGTGCCGGCACCACGGTGGGGAATTTAGGCTCCTCCTCCTGCAGAGAGGGAGAAAATATATGAAGGATTTTAATGCAGAGATCTAGGAACTCGTGAAAAGAGTGACAAAGAAAATATGGCTTTTGCTTTTCGCCATTTTTTATGTTTACGTCTAACATTTTCCATTTTCCATTTGTTGGTGATGCATTTGAGGTAGGGATGTAACAAGTGCATCCCTACCATATCGCGATAAACAAATGTGGCACAAAGAAAATGCCTGCTTTGTTTGGTAGAACTAGTAGGTAAAAAAACACTGGTTGTTCTTGTTCCAGTCTGTTACTGTCACTTTGTTTTTGACACTTTAAAATACTACTATCCTACTCAAATGCTGTACAAATCAGATGTATTATTTAAAGTGGACCTATCATGCTATATGTGAATAATATAGTGTAGGGACCATACCTATATAAGGCATATTTATACTTTTTTTTTTTCAAAATACCAAACAGATCATGCATTTTAGCCATGCCTCATTTTGCTCAATTTGACATTTTTTAGCTCTGTTTTAGCAAGGGCTGATTATGTGAGAACAGCACCATCTACTGGCCTGGCATATGTACTACAGCGTCTACAGCGCTTTCGAACGGCAACGGCCGTGGCTGTCTCCTCCTGATTGGTGGAGTTGGCCCAATAGCCGTAGCGCCACCGTCCTGACGTCAGGACAGTGTTCAAATCTGGATCAGTTTTTATCAGATCCGTTGCAGCCCCTTTTTTAGAGATTTGGGTATGGAGGAAAATAGAGAGGGTTGTGTTTTCTGACACTTGGTGAATTTAAAGTAAAAAGTAAAAAAAAAAAGTTTCTTTATTTTTCAATATCGCAATAAATATCGTACCGTGAGTTTTTAGTATCGTTACATCCCTAATTTGTGGTGTTAACATGAATTCACTTTTCTATCAGTCATACTACAGTGAGTTTGTTCTATTCATCAGGTTGGTGTTGGGTGGAGAAGAAGAGCTTTATCTGTTTAGTGAGGCAGTAGAACTACAGAGCTCCAGTCTATTGATCCTCTCAGGCTGTAAAGATATGGACATCTGTACGAACATGAAGTCATCTGAAGAGATTCAACTTCAGGATGTTCAAGAAGGGGTATTTGTAACGTCTGATACTACAAAAGTATTGCAGCATTATCCAGATCAATACTGTGCAGTACAGTTGTCCTGTTTCTGTGATATTATAATGAATGTAATAATACAAACTTCAAATGAGAACTTTTTAGGAAAGAGGCAACACGTAAAAAAAATAGCAAATGGAAGATAAAAATCAAACAATACAAAGAGAGTAGATGATCAAATATAACAGTGAGAAAATAACTGTGCATTAAGAATAATACCAAATAGAAAAAATGATATGTTTAAGATTTAAAAATAAATCAAGTGCTTTTCACAGTATTCAAAGACACGTCGGGTTAAATTGTTTTTTAACAATTGTTTACAGAAAAAGGTTAAATACGTTTTCAGAATCTGGATTTTTTAAAGATAAAATCTGATTTAGTTTCCCTCATGTCAAATTAAACTGTGAGTCTAGATCAGGGGTCGGCAACAGGCAGACCGCGGTCCGGATCCGGACCCAGACGCCGACCTATACGGACCCGGACCTATAATCAATACATTAATAGGGGATTTCAGGGGATTAAAACTAAATATGGTTCCAGGGCAGGCTAACCGAGGCTAACCAATGAGCACCTGCATGTGTGTATGAGAATGGCCCTGACACCATTTCAGCCCAGATTTAAACTCCTGGCAGGACAAGCTCAAGCTCAATTCTCGCACTGAATTAAAGAAAAGTGAGTGAGGGACTGCAATATAAGAGGGAAAGAAAGAGAAACTTTAAAACTGTTCAATTGTTATGATGTGTAAAGACTGATATAGTTCTATAATCGTCTGAAACTGTTAGGTCATGATGTGAAACGGTTAACAAAGAAAAAGGGAAACGCAAGCTGCAGCTACACTTTATTTTATTTATCTAGAATTAAGCACTTTTAAGATGCACATATTTTCAAAAGCTATTTTATTTATTTTCTCTATTTTATTTTGAAATGCAGCCAGAGAGGAACATTACACATATCCACAGTATTTACTCTATTGTTGTTTATGAATTGTACTTTATTTGATTGGCAGTCAGTTGTTGATGACATGCAGACGTGGATAAAGCTACAGGCTACTTCAATATATATCACACTAATTCATAAAGCAACTTAGACATGTTGATGTCCCGGACCTTTGCATGGGGACATTTTCTCTACCTGGACCTCGTTGAATTTGAGTTGAACACCCCTGCTCTAGATCAATGCTAAGGCATGATTGAATATCCTAATGCACAAGTTTACAGGGGTATATCTGTTTTATTATTTATTTATTTTTCAGTTTCTTACTCACCCCGCCGTACGACAGCGTCAGTTGTCCCAGAAACTCAGAAACCAGCGCCATGTTGAGTTCACCTGCAGGACACACGGTTAGAAAGTCGGTTTTTAATTCAACATGATCACAACTGATCCATTTCTGCATCTGTTGTGATTCCTCATGGTTCATGTATAAATGCACACGTGAAATAACTATAAGACAATTACTTTACAAACATATTTTAAATATCAATTAATCTGATTTTCTTTCTCTATTAATCATTTAAACTGTTTTGGTCTCTAAAACTCCAGAGTAACATTTAAAATATAGATCAATCCAAACCTAAGATATCTTCAGTGTGAAGTCCTAAAATGGAGGAAGGAACACCTCAAATCCCACTTTTATGAAGCTGAAAACATCAGATTTCTTTTTTTAAAGTGCCTCAAAAGATAAATTGACCATCCGGTTCGACGCCGATTGATTTATTGTTAGTAGATTAATTGATTAATTGGCTAATCGTTGCAGCTATTCATTGACAAATGCAATACCCCCCCCCCCCCAACACCCACACACACACATATATTTAATATGAATATCTTCTTCTGCTAACTCAACATAAACACACTTTCTTATCTTCTATTTGTTTCTGTTATCGATGTAAAAGTGTTATGTTTTGTACATCAATATCATTTTCTTTTAAATGTTTCTAAGTTTGTCCAAACTGTCTCCATGTGCCCTTACAGGTTAATAAAGTAGGAAACATGAGCACAGTAAACATTAGAGTCATTAGATATAATGCTATTTATAGTAAACGGATGTTTCCTTTATCCCAAATCACATCCTTCCTGTTTGATATTCAAATACTTCTGCAAAGCAAAACATATTTTCTGATTTCATTCGGGTTTTTATGAACAAATTGTAAATATAAAGTGTGAGGAGGGAGAATCCACAAAGTCTCCTTAGATTTCATCTGAGGACAGATTTCCTCCCGGTGGAAACGCTTCAAGTTTCCTCTTCAGGTTTCTAAAAACGGACGAGCGAACAATAGAGTGTGAACACCGAGCGCTGCAGAATCCAGCGGCCTGTGAACGCCTCGCATAGGTGTGCTGTATTTATTGAACAGGAAATTCCACAGGGTGTGTCGGTATGAGAGGCAGATAAGACACACACACCACACACCACACACACACACCCCACACACACACACACACACACACACACACACACACACACACACACACACACACACACACACACACACACACACACACACACACACACACACACACACACACACACACACACACACACACACACACACACACACACACACGATTGATAAATCAAACACTGTAACGTTTTGTTTCGTAACTAAATGATTAATTACTAGAGTCTGGAATGCTCTCCCGACCTTTGACCTCTTATTAAACACTAACAGGAAGTGTTGGCAACGGTTTCTTAGCGACGCCCGATACAAACAGTCCAAGAGCCAGAGATATTAAAGAGGACCACCACCCTTTTAAACATATTTATGTTTGGCATGTTTTTTCTCTGATAACAGATCACACAGAGTTCGTGGGTTTATGTGTGCCCTGAGCTGAGCCTCCCAGGCTAACTTCCCATTATTGGTTAATTCAAATCTTCAGAGAGACTAATGTAGCGCCCTTAACAAGTTATTGATTTGTCTAAAGAGGATCACTTTACTGTAATATAAGAAATAAATGTTCTAGGACGTTTTCCGGTCATTTCCTTCTGTTTCCTCTTGAAAGATTACTTTAAAATTGATTAAAATAGTTGTATATACTTGACTGTTGATACAAAGCTTGAAGAACAATATTTTTTTTAATATATTACACTGTAGTCTTTTTTTGGGAGTACTTTACTGCATGTAATTAAACTAGTTTTACTACATGTTGCATTATTTCCTGATAAAAGTTAAACTACATTTATATTTGCCTTGTGATTTAAGCAGTTACATTGTTGGTGTCACGATCTGTCTGTGTTTTATTTGTGTCCTGAGTAGATCTGTCTTTTTGGTTTCCTGTTTTAGTTTGAAAAGTGTTCAACACCTGTCTTGCCTGTTGCTTCCTGTCTCTGTGTTCCCTCCTGCCTGATTACCTGATTGTGTTCACTTTGTGCCCCTGTGTTTTCTCCTCCCTCCTCACCTGTGTCTTGTGTCTTTGATTAGTCCTGTGTGCATTTAGGTTCTGCTTTTTTCTCTTTGTGATATCCTTCTGTCAGGGTTGAGCGAAGCAGGCAGGACCCAAATGCAGGTTTAACAGAGAATATACCTTTATTTCAAGGATACATAGACATACAGAGCAGAACTCTCCCGTGTGAACACATTCAAAAAACAACAAGGATCTCACAAAGACTAACTCATTTTGTATTTCTTTGACAAGTAAAAGTCTATCCCTGTTGGTTTTGTCCACACTGAGGGTGTTTCTCAATGTCGAGTACGCTTGCTTGGTAGCACATGTCTGCCGAGCATCTTGCTTCAGAAGCGAGTCAAGAATACTTCCTGGCATTCGGAAAACAAAGAGTGGAACAGGCTAGCAAGTGTGCAGGTGTGCGTCATATGAGAGGCCCCGCCTCTTACATCTTCCGCCACAGATTTGGGGAAATTGGTCCGTGCGCAAAGCATTGTGGGGATTTTAAGACCGCGGAGTCTACTCATGTGCAGCCTCGATATTTCTCCAAACGGAGTACGCCGGGCTCGGTAGATTTCCAAGTATGCTGGAGATTGGAACAGTACTTCGGCGGCACTCGATGACGTAGCATGCTTGAAATAGTGGCTCTGAAGCAGCTTTACTCACAATTGAGAAACACCCCCAGTTTGATTACCCACTTTTCCATAATGACACAGGGTATTCCAGTGAGGGGCATATGGAAGACGGTAGACCCATTGTGTTGCATTCAAGGACCTAACTGCCTGCGTGTAAATCTCTGCAACAGATATAGGAGTAACAACTGAAGGTTTGCAGACATCAGACCAACATTTGATGTTTGTTGTACCAAACATATTTTCTTAAATCAATCATATTTGTTACACTGTTGATCTCTTGAAAGGAAGCACAATAACGTGCAGCCCCGCCCTAAAGTATGGTCTTTATACACTAAATGGGAACATCATTTATTTATGCTGTGTTTAAAAAGACTTGAATCTAGAAATGAAGTCCATAAACTCCTCAGGTAATGTGGTAATAAATCAAGTGAGAAGTATGGTCATCTTTCCTGGACTTCTATAAAACAATCCTTAAAGCATACAGTAAGCTACTTTATTGGTTACTTTACTCAAAATGTAGACGATAATTTACTAAATGAACATCATGCTGTATTGAAGAGGACTTGCACCTACAGATAGAGACCATGAACTCATAAGCAATATGTCTACTGAGGTAATGAGACAAGTGAGAAGTAGGATCATTTTCTCATAGACTTCTATACGATCTGACAAGAACCAATAACATGAACAATGGCTACTTTACAGCGAGAGTTGCAATACAGTACAATGTACAGCAGCAATTAAAGGTGCTATGAGTCAAGATGTCTGCTGTGGACACGGTGTATTACACACAATGACTTCCCATCCAACGTTTTCAAAGTAAAATCCCAGCTTCTAGGTTAAAGAATCAGATCAGACTCTTATTGTGAACGTTTTTGGGAACCTTCAGCTTTGGTTTGGAGTAACTCCCGCTGCCAGAAAGGATCTAATGTTTAGTATCATGCTGCTAACAAAATGCTTCTCAATGAATCAGTCCCCCTTCAAAATAAAAGCCTTCAGTCAGAGTCAAGTTGAGTGACTCGTCTTTTTTCTCATTTCTGCATGTTTACAAACCGATTTTTGCATTTAGCGTCATCTGATTTCTGTGTAGGATCTAAGGATCACTAGATGAGCAGAAATACACGTCTGCTGTATCTGTACAGTCTCATAAACTCTGTTCTCTGCTTACAGATAACACCACCACGTCTCTGTGATCCTCCCTGTTTATCACATGAACATGATACCATGGTAATTACAGGCTGAGAGAGAGGGTCTGCAGGGAGGACTTTACCCGCCGCACCCATCCAGCAGCCGGCTGTCAGCACATCAGGAACATTTCACACTAACATTCGAAGATTTCAGCTAATTTTAGACTTCTTTGATAGATATTTCTTGCACATTAAAGAACCAAACTCCCAGCTAAAAGCTTTTTGTTCAAATGATTTCCACCCCTCTACAGTAAAGCTGGACTTCTGTGTGATCTGGATATCTGTGCACGCAGTCAGGTTTTTCAGCGTGCGATCTGTGTTTCCTTACCTTCAGCAGCAGCAGCAGCTCCGTTATGATCCGGGACGGGCAGGGTGTGTACTGTTTAAATAGCAGCTGACACACACACACACACACACACACACACACACACACACACACACACACACACACACACACACACACACACACACACACACACACACACACACACACACACACACACACACACACACACACACACACGCACACACACACACATCTAAGTGCCCGTATGACTCAGTGGTCGAAACTTTTACACATCGGACTGAACATAAATTCCTCACTCAGGTTCAAATCGCCTCGCCTGCTGATTTCTGCTCTCTGATTGGTTGGCGGGCGTCCAGTAAAGTAGTTAAACTATTAAACAGCACTTACATAATCACAGTGTACATCTAATTACTGGCTGAAGGGAGAGGGTATGAGTTCAACTCAACCAATGACCAACAAGATGGTTTGGTCCCTTTTAATTGTGGTTCGAGATCTCAGAAACATTTACCTTGTTTTTGCAAATAAATGACATTAAGCTCAACATGCTTACTGATGTTATTGGTACACCATTTTGTGTTTGCATAAAGTAATAATATGCTGTTTAATTTGACTGGAATCCATTTTAACTTTTTGCAGATTGACACCGTTATTAAACTGCATTTTTCAAGCACATTTGCACCTGTGGGCCACCGTAGATTCACATCAGATAACTCCTATATTATTCTGTACCACATCAAAATGCTATCGATGCTACAATTGACTGACTGTCAGTAAACTCCTCCTGCTAGGGTTAGCCTAATGCTACCATTAAGATAGATATGTCCAGAAACTCCAAATATCATCATGTAAAGACACAAGGCTTTGATTTCATTGTCAAATGATTCATTTACATAAGACAGTATAACAGAGCACTCGTTTTTATTCGATTTCATCAACGTCAGTTAATTGACTTTTGAAAATGTGCATAAGGAGGCAAAAAAAAAATGCGAAACTTCTGAACAAGCTGCGTTTAAATTGTACGTTAGCATCGCATGCTAAAAGTATGCTACCTTGAAGAAGTATTTCTTGGCCTGAACTTTTTAATCAGTTAAAACCAACTGGAAAACATCTTAATGTTCACTAATTTCTCACGTCACTTTTTTACTTAATTAACTGGACTTTAACCATAACAACAGCTTTTTCCTACACCAAACAAAGTCGTTTGGTTGTCTAAAGAGGTTCTGCAATTCCATCCACAATAAGGCTATATTCTCCACATGGACAAAATATTTTGAGTTTATTTCACGTTTCTTTCCCTTTTGTGTCTCATAGCACCCCTTAAAGCCCATTGATCAGGTGTTCACAGCAGAGCGAGGTGTTCAAGAGTCAAGCAGAGGGCGTTGACGGTGGACTGGTGTACTCGTTCTGCTAATAAGTATCCAGACACTGAGAGATAAAGAGGGTGTGGAGGGGTGGGCCGGTGTTTTATGGATCTGAACAAAGTCATTAAGTTACAGGACAACCCCGACCCAGCCCAGGTGAGACAGCAGGTGAGTCACTGCAGGAAGTCACCTTTACGACAGGCGTGGTGTCTGCCCCACCGTCACAGGAAGCTGCCAGTTTGAGCGTTAAAGGGTTGATGTGAGGCTAACTGAACCCACTGACTAAGCTAACGTTAGCATGCTAATATCTTGAGGCTAAAAGAGGTCAATGGATCGACACATTTCACCGGAAATTTAACAAATGCTGTTAAATAATGACCTCAGTCTGAAATTACATTTTCAAAAAAACACAAATTATGAAATATCGCGCCAATAACATTTGATGTAAATAAGATTGTCATATGTTATTGCAAAGCTAATCTAACAAAGCGTACGTTAGCATGCTAATATCAGAATAGTTAAAGAGTTGACCTTTCGGACCCCCCCCCACCTTATCACCTGAATCTCCTCCTAGAGCACCATTGTGTTCTTTTTTAACCAATCATCTCTCAGAGGGGCGTGGCCAGCAGCAGCTCATTAGCATTTAAAGCTACAGACCCAGAATCAGCACTTTTGAAACAGGGCTGAAACAGAGGGGATTATGGGATGCTGCAATGATCTGTTTGGTGTTTCAGCCAATCAGAGACAGGCTCTGTATATATCTGAGACCTGTAACATACTGATGAGAACGAGTATAACAGGGGACCTTTAAATACCATAAAAAGCACTTCTTTCTGTAAATGACAAAGTTGTAAATGAAGCTGCAGAGCATTTGATCCTGTGGGCCACCGTAGAAACAGACTCTGCAGTTTTATGATCCTCTGTTTGTGATCAGCTGAACTCTGCATTCTTTCCTCCGTTACGTAACATGAATCTTTTCCCCTCACAGAGGAAACTCCTGCACTTCATGCAGAGCGGAAAGCTCCATTGTTTTCGTTATGCTTTCATTGTTTCACCTCCAGCTCCAACAGCATGACAATAGAACAGAGAGGAAGAGAGCAAGAGTTACAATCCCCTGTGCTCAAAGAAGTGATGTTTTGCACACTTCACTTAATCACTTTTCCATGAAATACTGGTTTAGTATTTTAGTAGTTTTATTTGAGTAGTTTAGTTGTTCTGCTTGGTGGAATAAGGAGGAGGATGCAGAGGAACTCATGTATCATATCTCTGTTCAAGTTTTGGCTGCAAACCACTCCACCTTCAGAGCCTTTGGTGTTTGATAATGCTCTTTTTTAAAGAAAATACGGACTATGTTACTGTTTGTAGGAACATTGGAAAGTTTTGAGCTTGGAAATATGAAGGAAATTTAGATTTTCTCATAATTCTGACTGTTGAACGTTTAAATCCTCTTCAGTATCTCCTGCTCACACACAGTTTCTCTGATGGAGCATGAGGGCAGTACATCCAGAGGAATGTGAGCTGTGTTTCATCAGAGACTCTGTGTGTGCCGACTAAATATGTGGAAAGAGTTTCCGTGAAACGTTTTTTTGGAGTTTGGATGTGACGTCATTCCTTTGAGACAGGAAGTGGAGGCGGGACACAGGGAGGCACACGGTATTTATTTATTTATATAAAGTACAAACAGACACAAGACGTGAAATAAAGGATGTCTTTGGAAGGGTTTTTCACAGATTTAGTTGTTGTTTTTTTGTTAGTACCATGAGTGTTTCATTTATTCAGAGAAACATAAACAACATACATTATAATAACAATCACAATAAAATTAGTATCAGCCGATTACAGAATAATTATTACAATAAAGAGGACTTTAATAACAAAAAATAAATACAAATACAAAGTATCAAAGTAATGATACAGGAGAATGACATCAATTAGTGTAGGAGCCAAAACGTTGATTTATTATTTATATTATTTAATCATTTAATGTATGTAATGGAGTATAATTGTTTGGTGTCATTTGATTGGGATCCGCAGCCACGGTGGGGCGGAGCGGCTGATTGGTGCTGCGATTGCCTCAGCTGGTTAAAAGAGTCCTGCTGATTACACTCTGGGTGCTATTTTGGTTGTGAAGCCACACGGTTTTTTGACCGCTGCATTGCACTGCAGAGAAGATATGATTTGTTTATTTAAGTGAAGAAAACTGTTTCAATATCGTCTGGTAAGATACCTTCATTTGTGTTTGAAGAAGAGAACGAACATGGAAATAAATGTACCAAAAACGAACAATATATCTCTGAGTGATGTGTGAGCGCGTCGGCCAGGCGCTAAAACCAAAGAGCAGAAAAGAGCTTAAAGGTGGAAAGATGGCTCTTATATTCGTCAAAAAACCCAGCTTGATGAGCGCTGGTCCGTGGAAATATTTGTTTTGAAAACAAGAACTCAGAACTCATAACAGTGTGTGAAAGACTCGCCTTCGTTTTACTACGGCTTCTACTTCCTGGATCGACGGTGTGTGAAATGTGAATGACTGAAGGCAACAATCACTCCTCCTCCAACTACGTATGTAACGCGTCACTGCTGTGGAGCGTTCAAGGACTGTTGGAAACGTCTCAACTCGCGGCAAACGGTACAAAACGCAATGGAAATCAAGGCAAGACAATGAAAGTCCATAAACAATGAAGTAAAATTCAAAAGGAATAAATGTGTCGTCTTGAACAAAAATGGCAGACTTGGAAAGCTTGGAAAGTGACATTGACTGTGTGTATATGGAAAGGCTCAAACGACTGAAATTATCAAGGAGTGCAAAATTGGGTGCATTGACAAGGAAAAGAAATGAAATCAGACAATTAATGGAAAATGTCTGCAATGTGGAACTGGTTAAGTCGAAAATGGAAAATGAGTTTACACAACTACACAAGGAAATGGAACAGTTAAATGATTCTGTTCAAGCTTTAATGTCCACAGAGGAGGAGAAAGAGGTGGAAAAGGATCAGGATGAATGGTACAACCCCAAAGCAGCTGTCTTGGAAGAGTTTACTCAGGAGGTCTTAAACTGGATCGCTGATGCTCCTGTGTCCAATGTGGTCAAGACCAAAATAAAAGGACATATGAGTGTTGCACCTCAGGACAGTATTTCAAACATAACGAGTGTTCATTCACAAAGTTCAAGGAGATCTTCTCGGTCTTCTATCACATCTGCTAAAATAAAATTGGAAAGTCGAAATGCAGAATTGTTAGCACGAGCTGCTAGGCTGACTCAGAAGCAAGCACTGGAAAGGGAGGAAGCTGGTTTGAAGGCAAGAAAGGAACAGCTGGAACTTGAAACAGATATTGCAGCAAACACTGCGAAATTAAGTGTAATCAAAGGAATGGAGGATTCTCATGCAGGCATGTACCAAGCAGGAGACAGAATGAATGAATATTGGGATAACTCAGAGCAAGAAAATGCTCATTTGAATGCCAACAAGCAGAAACCAAACATCAATAAAACTGCAAATGCCGTTAATAGTGAAACACAATTCATACCACAACGTCCCGAAAGTTCAACTTCATCCAGCACGTCTTCTAGCACGGGAGAGGGCAATATGAATAACTTAATAAGCATCATGGAAAAACAGACCATAATAACAGAAACAATGGTAAAGCAACAGAAACTTTCTTCATTACCCCCACTCAACATTCCTACCTTCAACGGAAACCCTTTGGATTATCGGTCCTTCATAAGAGCATTTGAGCATGGTATTGAAGAGAAAACAGAAATCAGTAAGGACAGGC